AATATCATGAAATAAAACTTTAAAATATCAATTCTTTAGGATAAAAGAATAAAACAAAAAACGTCTTTTTAAGATCAGAAAATAAAACTTTCAAAAATCACTTCACTGTACATAGATAGCTGTTTCACCCTTGTACAAATAGTTTCATCCCTGTCACCAGTTGGAAACGTTCATTCTTAGCTATGTACGATAATTGCTACACGAAAATTACCTCATAAACAACTAAACCCCTGGTAATGAGATGAAACTTAGAACAATCACGTCACGTTACAACAGTAGTGACAACGAAATTTCCCATATGAACAACGTTAAGTAACAGTGATCAAATCTCAGCTGAGCGCAAAGCCAAGCTGAGATTTAGCCTACAAAAAGGAAGCAAACTATGTGCTGCTAAACAGGTCAGTTAGGTAAGTGGGCGCATCCATAAAGGTTCTTAAAGGAATAGACACAGCACCCTCACATTATCAGCGAACATGCACCTCTGTGAGGCATGTTTGTGCAATCACTACACCGTCACGCAGACATTTTCGACTTAATCCCAATAAAACTCCAGGAAATTTTACGGTGAAATTTTCAGTTATGATATATCAAATAGCAACTAAATATACTTTTCACGCCGCGTCAATTGATTCTTTGGTGGCCTTTGCATCAAATGCTTTTAACTTATCAGCAGCATCAGTTCTCCTTGCTTTTTCCTTCACCACAGTAGCAAACTCCCCAACAGTCAGTTCTGGCCTTTCAGCCACCAACCATTCAATTACTGCTTCTGATTTTCCCTCCTGAAGCCTCGCTTTTATTTTGTTGTGGGTGGCACCATACCAACGAGCAATTGCCTCATAGGGAAGTTTTCCACAAACTGGTGCGTCTAAAAGTTCGCAGATTTCTTCCTGTTCACTGGAGTTTAATAAGTCTCTTAGAGGCTTGGAATCTGAAACAAAGATGAATCAGAACAATATACGTTGAGGAATACATATGCATGGCACATATTGGCTCAAAGGTTCTGTGACGTACTAGCTGACTAAATACTTTTAATATGCTCGTTTCATCCATTATACCTCTCTACCGTACTGTACCTTTACTCAAAATACTTTTTCCTGAATAAATGAGATTCAGTTCACGTTTTTTACAACTAAGGGCTTAGACGACAAATGAACTTTGCAAGTATAACTCTGAAATTTAAATTACTAGCTGCCACAGCAATTCATGTTATTTCACTAAAGGTTTTAACATCAGTAAGAGCTCAAACTTGAGCCATTCAAATTGGATTGAGTTGACATGCAAGGCCTTCATTCTCTCAGCCCTGAATTTCTGCAGATATATAAGATAAATATGCAATTCTCCCATGATATAATACATAACATGTAGTCTTAGAAATTCAACCATCCACAGAGAAGGATTCAGGTCCACCTTAGGCATGCCAAACATAATAATTACCTGACGTAATTACCAGCTTGTCTGCATTTTGGCACGAGCTTGTACAGGCCTTTCCATCACTCTAGAAAGGAAACCAAAACTTAGTCTTGTACATTGCAATTAGCTCACCTGTAAATGAATGTTGTAGGAGCTATCACAGTGCATGCATGACGGCAAATATACCCCTTTCATCTGAGTTACCTAAAATTAATAGTTTTGAGGCAAAAATATTTCCATGCAACCCTTGATATTTACAGACATCCAGACTTCACAAGGAAATAAGTGGAATTTGGAAACAAAGTTGATGAGTAAGTCAGGTCTCATTTTACAATTTCCTTGGCTCCTTTTTAATTCTAGACCATTTAGTTTTTCCTTAAATATTGCAACATTACGCATGCATGAATAGGATGGATGCAATTCACTTGTGTATCTTTGATAACTAATTCCCTACTGTATGCCAGACTTGCATAATGATCATGGATAATAATGGACATACAGTGCCACATCTCTTTTACAAAATATAGGGTAACCCCTGAACATTTCAGCTTCAAATGGGAGAGATTTCCCTTTTTTTTTTCAATGTACAAGTGGAGGAGATCGATATTTAAAACAATTTAAAAATTCCATGTTCTCCTAATTATAGCCTATCTCGCTACTTTATTCATTTAGTACCTCTAAAGGTGGTTTGGACAATTCAACTTGCACTGATCCAGAATTGTAATGAACCTCAGTTCTTCTCTTCTTGTATGTTCCCCCATGTGTTTGTGAAAATTGTTAAGACTGCCATCACCATACATGTATATGTTGTAGTTCAATTTTATACTTAGTTCAAATTTTATTTTACTTTGTTCTCGGTCATGTTAATGTATGATAATGGTCGAGTTTGAAACAAAGGAAAATAACATTTGAACCAAGGATAAAATATATATTTGAAGTATAGCAACAGATTAATCGTCATTAACCTCATTCAAAAACTCCTGAGTATAATATCATGTCTATTAGTGAATGCAGCTTGCACAGGCAAGACTTAACCTTTGTGAAAGTAATGATAGTATAAAGGGGAAATTTAACACAACAAAGGTTAATTGTGACAATTTTAGTAGATCTGATTTCACATACAAAGATAATACCTAAACCTCCATTATATTCATTTGGTCTCTGACAGTGCACCACATGTATTAGTTTCCCGACTGAAATTTACCTGGATTAACAGAACTATGTTTAGGTGGCCGTAACTTGCAAAACCATAACAGGCACATTCCAACCACAAACAACAGAACCAGTACCAGTACCACAGCTGTGACTGTAATTAATGTACATGAGTCATCGTGATCACTGCTTTTGGAAGCAAACTGGCCATGAACCCTAAGCTGGGTTATATTTTTTAATCTGTAACCCCACTGGCATTGGCACCAGTTGTGACTGTGTGACTTGATATAGACGTTGTGGGAGCTAAACTCTGACTTGATTCAGTGGTAGACTGAGGTACAAATTTTGGGGTTGATTTAATATTGCATCTGTTAACGCTGCTATGGAAAGAGCAGATCATGCTTGATTGAGATCCCAACTTTCCTTTACATTCATCCTCCTCCACATCTTGGTCATCATTGCAACACTTGGAACATTTCAAGCAATCTCCTTTGGATGCATCATAATACCTGTTCAAGATGAAAAGTAATTAAGGAACAAAACTTTATCTTTTTTGGCTGGCAGATATTGTAAAAGTAAAGTTGACCCCTCCATTTTTTCAAGGTTTGAGCCTTTTGCCTGACGGTGTCATTGTAGTTGAATCACGTCAACTATAGAAAAACTAAAATCATTGATTTCTAAATAAATGTGAATCCAACAAAGGACATTCCATTAGGTTCTAGTTTTTCTAATATTCTTTAGTCATCTTGGAATTTGAAATATTTTTGCAAAAAAAGCCCACATTCAAAACCGGAGAACCCAGAAAAATTACCATTCAGTGGAGTTTATTTAGGACAAGAACCAACCACAAATAACCTGCAAATATCCCCGCACCATCCCTGCTCCCGTGATTAAGGATACATTTCACTCCTAAACAATTACAATTTATTGCTGGCATTAAAAACTATCAATTTGAAACCAATTAATGGGCAAATACCAGGTAATCTGACCACCTATCAAAACCAGACAAGGAACATTCTGTAGCCAGTCAGATTTACTGTTGGAACAAACCATGGCCCTCTCCCCCCTCCCCCAAGCCACTTTATGTACAAGAAGTTACCTGTCTTTGCTGTAACATCTCTTTCCACATTCGATGTCTGCCTGACGAGAGCAGTTTTTTATCACCACCTGATCTTTGGCGCAATATGAACATGGAGTGCAGACAGAAGTGCTATGTTCATTGGAAAATGACCTTCCCAGTTGGCATGCAACACAGTGACCCATTGTATTAGATGGTAATGGTTTGGAATTTCCACATTCTGGTGAGGCAGTTTGACCAGGAGGGCAAGTTTGACAGTCAATACATTCTGTTGTGCCATCTTCCTTTTCAATCCAGTATTGGGTTTTCTTGCAAGGATTTGTAGGCTTAAGAGGCAAAAAATACTTGTACTTCACTTCAGATGTTTCTAAGATGAGGTGGAAAATTATGGGGAATAACTCATGGAGTCCTTTAGAGAGTATATAGATCTCTTCCTTGTTGAGAAAAAGGCTTGTAATTCATAATAAAATTTAAAAGAATGAGATGTTTCCAAAAGTGAGCACACTATTATATGGGACCTGATCCCCCCTCCCATCACTTCCCTTCCTCTAAAATATGATGCTGCCATAGTATAATTTCGGCCGAGGGTCCGTTAGTGTCAAGCTGTTTCGAGGCTTAGGCAAACATTGGGTTTAACGAGAGATTGCACCCAGGGTGGAGGACACTCAACTCCTTTACAATCAACTGAATCTCCTTTATTACTTGAATCAAGGTTCTTATGTACATAATTGTAGCTAAATCAAACGTGATACAAAATACAGAAGATAATACGAGTTTCGATCCCTTGGAATAAACAACTTAATAACCACATATCAAGTTTCCATATTCCATGCGACACATTATTAAGTAGGAATATTTTCATGAATACTCTAACAACAAAGGGTTACACATAAATCATATTTCTGGTGGTAATTATGTGATCAAAGCTTACTTTAGAATTGTTTGTCATGCTTTGTCATGCTATGCTTAACTTTACAACACTGCAATAAACTGGAAAAGTTTTGGTGGATTTATAACTTTATTCATACATGCATGGTTAGAAAATCCTTTAGCATAACACATCAGTAAAACATCTTATTCTATCTTGCTAAATTAATCTAACTAATAAGATAAGATATATTAGACATTTTGACATATAATATTTGTGATGTGATGTTATAATAAGTTAGAACTAACTTGATCTCCACTGAGGTTAAAAGTAATTCACTGCATATCTTTAGGATTGAATAATCAACTTATAACACCACCCACTGAAAATTTATTGACAGATAGATTATGATATTAACATTACATTTTTCACTTAAATTAGGAAAGTTAGCTTAAACTCGATTGTTCATGGTATTTTCATAATTTCAAGTACTGTTATAAATTTCAACAGTGTCTAAAACAATTTTTAACTACATTTACTACTAATTAAGTGGTAATATCACTTTGTGTTGTGTTACTGTTATCAAATAATACTGTTATCTGCACATTAATTGTCATAAAATTATATAATTTATCAAATTACTTTTATTATCATCTTCGATACAAATACATCTAAATTAGTCTTTCCACCTAGTCAAAATGTAGCTTATGCTGTTGTATAATAATATTTTAACTAATCAAAAAATTAATGCATTTCTGTACAGAGGACACTGACTTTCTACAGACTTCTAATTAACACTTAGTTCTATAGAGGTGCCTAGCTCCTAATTGAGGGGCCGGGGGGCATGGGGTGTTCTGAACAAAATAAAAGAAATACAGCAATTTAACCAAAGAAATATTATCAACACACTGACACTGCAATTGGATAATTAACCACAGGTTGTCAAAAAGTAGTTTTTAAAAGGGTAAAAGAATAAACTGCAACACCGGAAATGCTTTATCTTACTGAACAAGCTCGGTTTAAAATCATAAACATTGTACTCTGTAAGGTTTGAGATCATCTTGCAAGTCATTCTTCACTGCAATACTGCATCGAAAAAAGGGTCAATACTGCAACATCACAAACCCCACTGTCCCCTCCCTAATTTCTTTTTACTGTATCCCTTGATTCAAATCTACAGTTTATAAGAATAGAACAAATGATCACTAGTTCAAGAAGCTCCTGACAATCAAACAATTTTTTTTAATTCTCCCTGTCATAATTACCACAAAAAATATTAAAATAATTAACAGCGGAAAATCTAATTATTGATGTTATGGCATAAATTAAAGGCTTAAGGTCTTCTCAAATAAACATGAAATTATCAATTTTAGTGAAAATAGGTTACAATAGTTTTAAATCTTTTTCAATTGGCTAATACACAAATTAAACATTCTCATTCTTTAAGCTTTTTCCATAAACACTCCTCCTGAATACAACTATGTAAATAACATCATTCAATAACAATTCACTCTGCAAAAAGATCAATCTACTGATAGTTTTTAAATATTTTCAGATTAAAGCATATTTGAAACTAGTTTGAAATTAATCAAGTTGGTAACTGTGGTTGACACTGTTTACTTTTTCAGCTACCACTGTCAATTACACTGGTATGCATTAATCACTGAAAGCAATAATCTTATATGTAGAAACATACCTTTGCAGATACTGTTGGGAAAACTAAACAAGCAACGAGCAACATCCCAAAAAACTGCAAAAAAAAATTAGATTTGATATTTATAAATCAACTCTTATAATAATAAAATACCTCCTTTGCTTTAACTTTAAAGCACATTTCTCTGTTTACATATTTCAAGAGAGACCAAGTACAACAGATGATGTCACACAATTAAAGCGACAGAAAGAATGATGCAATATGGTTCAGAGTATTTCCTTAAGAGTGTGAATAATACTTAAAAAGTAGATGATGCAATATAATGATGTATGCCAGGAATAATGATCAGCCATATCAATGTAACAAGTGCTCACTGAAATTAAGCGTAATATACTGATATAGCATATCAAGCAGCTCAAGGGCAAAAATTAATAGCAACTAACTGTTAAACTAATGATCATGAAGTGAGTCGAATAAATGGGATTCGATCCGTGGTACAAAGTGTACTTCGTCTGCTGTGTTATTTTATCTCTATACATCGTTTACATACATTTACGATCTCTTCTGAAACATAAATGCGACAATTCAAAGCCTGGACTTATTTTATTTTAATATCATCCACTTCTGGCAATTTCTTCCACTAGCAAACGTCAGATGATGCAAAAAAATCTTTTGTTTTAAGAACATGATTACGTTAGCACATTCGATCTTCTTTTTATGGCGTGATACGCCTCCCAACACGCCTACGCATGCAAATTTATTGCGCAGACTTTAAACGGCAAAAAAATGGAGGAAAAATCCTCTTAAATCAGCGATAGTGCGGCTCTAAAATACCAAGAAAGTTCAAAATATTGCTCACCTTTTGATAAAAAGACAGATGATTGCTATCCTTGTGAGACGGTTGCAGTCGCTTTCTTATGACGTATCTCTTTTCAGCGCTAACCACCTATATCAGAGATAGACGTTCGGAGAGAAAATATTGCGTTAATCTCGAGAGTTTATATACTAAATCTTTAAACGAGAAAACCATTATAAACAAGCAAAACGAAATGACAAAATCGTACCATTTTCTCTAATGGCGTCGTGGTTTTTCAAAGGGTTCGAAATCTCGACGGAAGCGACTGCTAAAAACGGATATTCCAAGACCTTGCTCGTGAAATATCCATTTGGCATTTTCCGTGGAAAATCTCTTACTGAATTCTCAAATTCGCGGAGATGCGAACACCAAGACTTTCAACAAGAGCAGCAGCAAACTTTCTTCGAAGGTTCTTTAAAATACGCTAGTCGCCTATTGTTTACAAGTAGTGTTACGTCACTCGATTTCATTCATTCAGTACTATCCAATCAAATGTAACCTGATCATTTCGGACTGACTACTGATTATCATCACATGATATTCTTGTGACTGATAGCATGACAAAATAATGGCGGGAATTTCCCTTGCCTTTCCTTCCACCAGAATTCTTTACATTATTGCACGTAGCTTTTAATTTGAGAAACTACGCGTAGATAGCAATTCCTACATGAAGGCGCGCTCGAATTCGCAACTCTAATTCTGATAACATGACAAAATAATTTACTATTCTATGGGCCTGATTACATGAGCCGGGCTGGCCCTGTTAGCAGGGCTGATTTCTTTTGTTTTGGTTTTCGCCAAAGCGTGAAAACAAAAGAAATCAGCCCGGCTAACCGGGCCAGCTCGGCTCATGTAATCAGCCCCTATATTCACCTACGAGCGCGGGATTTCTGCCCGAAAACATTGTAATTGTTGTAGAAATAAAAGACTTAAACCATCTTTTTACACCGAATTGGAGGTGGCTAACAGTGGATATTTACCAACTGCTGCGTGGCGAGATAAATATCTACAACCAGCTTGAGTGAATACATGCAGTTGTTAATTACTCCGCATGGCGCTCAAAATGAGAATGAAACCGTCACCTGTTATTTGCTAACAGTGCTCATCTGATGTATATACCAAGGTAGGTGATAGCTCGAGACAAGCCTGGCAAAGAAGTATCAGTTCTGATCCTTTTAAACAAGGACCGCGGAGCGAGGTGTAAAGTGGGAGGGTTGACAATTGAAAATAATTTTTTCACGTTGAAAACCGAAAAAAAGGAATAAAATCATAGTAATCATTTTTCTTTTTAGCGTAAAAAGTAGGGGCGGGGGCGCAAAAAAGTGGTGGGGTCGCGGCCCTACCGTCCCTCCCCCTCCGCGGTCCCTGTTAAATGAGGTGAAACGAAAAACTATACAAGACAAAAGGCGGAATTCCAAACAAAGCGTGTCTAAAAGAACCAGTGTTTCTGTAAATTACTGTGATTCTGAAGCCAAAAGGGAAGAAATTTGTCTGGGAGTTCTACACAATTACATTTGTAAAAAATAACAGTAATTAAAGGATCCATTCTGTGTGGACAATATTGATCAGTTTTATGGTTATCGATTTTAGGGATTTCGACGAATGTAAAGGGTACAGAGGACAATATAGAATAAAAAAAGGACCCAGACTTGTAAGGCACTGTGATTTTGCAACGGGATTAAGTTGTATTGTTTACTTTCTTTTATCCAATTTTTTCTTTCTTTTCTATTCTTTTGTTTGATTGCTTGTTCAATTGTTCTGCTTTGTTTTGTTTTTTAATTTTTTATCTTTTGTTTGATATTATTTATTTTGAAATCAGATGGAATGCACAGCCGAGAAATTTCAGTCGCGGAGCACTATTATTTAACAATGTGCATGCTAGTTGTTTAAATTAAGAAATTCTTTCAGGCAAGAGAAAAAAACCTTTTTATTACTAGCGGTGTGAGCTATTTACATTTCAAAAACTCACAGCAGAGACAGTCGTCAGCTCTAATTTCATAATCATTAGTTTGATGACTTATACGGGGACTTAGTGAAAAGTGTAATACATTTTACACGACTATTAATAGAATACGAAGCATTCAAATATAACTATAGCCTGCACTTCCCTGAGGTGCTACTGGCTAGATATTGATGTAACCATGGAATATAAACTTGTAATACGTTCCTTGTTTTTCACGATAAGCCCCAAAGCTTATTCGCCTTTATCAAAACCATCACCATCAATGGCGTCTGGTAGTGATGCGAAGCCCGTAGACTTTTGGCATCGAAATCTTTCGAAAATACCCAAAATTACTAACGCTTTTGCAGAGAAATTCGCTGAAGATAATATTCCAATACAAGTGACAATCGACAGAGGGTATAAATTCTTCCACAAAGAATTTATTCATGATATTTAAGGTAAATTTTTTTGCATCATTTTTGTCACCTTTAGTGATCTTGTACTGATTTTTTAAGGCTCATAAGCGTTTGATTTCTCTTTCTTGTTTAGTTAAACTTTGCAAAGAAGATGTTGGACCGACTATTCGTGCGAAATGCTTTAGAAATCAAAGGAAACACAAGGATCGAAATAAGCTATCCGTCTGCTTTGAACTTTCTACCACAGCTAAACTGATCATCAAATTTATGTGCTCTAGTGCCAATGGAAACGATGTTTGTCACCATGTCCTTGGTTTGTTATTTACTATCGCTCATTTTCAGCTCCTAGGGTATAAAAGTGTCCCCCCTGTCATTTCAAAGACACAAAAACCCCAGGTAAAAAGTGTTGTAATAAACATACCATGATACGTATATAAGAACGATCCTTCGCAGTAAAGCACTATTTGAGCAATAGTGCTAATCAGACCTGAAAAAAATTTCAGGCCTGTACGGGATTCGAACCACTGACCTCTGCGATACTAGTGCAGCGCTCTACCAATTGAGCTAACAAGCCAACTGGGAGCAGGCCATCAAATTAATTCGATATAAACCCGTAGATGATAAATCAAACAACAACAAACATATGAAACATATGTGTGAACTGCGGTTATGAGACGTATATGAGAACGATCCTTCGCAGTAAAGCACTATTTGAGCAATAGTGAAAATCAGACCTGAAAAAAATTTCAGGCCTGTACGGGATTCGAACCACTGACCTCTGCGATACTAGTGCAGCGCTCTACCAATTGAGCTAACAAGCCAACTGGGAGCAGGCCATCAAATTAATTCGATATAAACCCGTAGATGATAAATCAAACAACAACAAACATATGAAACATATGTGTGAACTGCGGTTATGAGACGTATATGAGAACGATCCTTCGCAGTAAAGCACTATTTGAGCAATAGTGAAAATCAGACCTGAAAAAAATTTCAGGCCTGTACGGGATTCGAACCACTGACCTCTGCGATACTAGTGCAGCGCTCTACCAATTGAGCTAACAAGCCAACTGGGAGCAGGCCATCAAATTAATTCGATATAAACCCGTAGATGATAAATCAAACAACAACAAACATATGAAACATATGTGTGAACTGCGGTTATGAGACGTATATGAGAACGATCCTTCGCAGTAAAGCACTATTTGAGCAATAGTGGAAATCAGACCTGAAAAAAATTTCAGGCCTGTACGGGATTCGAACCACTGACCTCTGCGATACTAGTGCAGCGCTCTACCAATTGAGCTAACAAGCCAACTGGGAGCAGGCCATCAAATTAATTCGATATAAACCCGTAGATGATAAATCAAACAACAACAAACATATGAAACATATGTGTGAACTGCGGTTATGAGACGTATATGAGAACGATCCTTCGCAGTAAAGCACTATTTGAGCAATAGTGAAAATCAGACCTGAAAAAAATTTCAGGCCTGTACGGGATTCGAACCACTGACCTCTGCGATACTAGTGCAGCGCTCTACCAATTGAGCTAACAAGCCAACTGGGAGCAGGCCATCAAATTAATTCGATATAAACCCGTAGATGATAAATCAAACAACAACAAACATATGAAACATATGTGTGAACTGCGGTTNCCGTACAGGCCTGAAATTTTTTTCAGGTCTGATTTCCACTATTGCTCAAATAGTGCTTTACTGCGAAGGATCGTTCTCATATACGTCTCATAACCGCAGTTCACACATATGTTTCATATGTTTGTTGTTGTTTGATTTATCATCTACGGGTTTATATCGAATTAATTTGATGGCCTGCTCCCAGTTGGCTTGTTAGCTCAATTGGTAGAGCGCTGCACTAGTATCGCAGAGGTCAGTGGTTCGAATCCCGTACAGGCCTGAAATTTTTTTCAGGTCTGATTTCCACTATTGCTCAAATAGTGCTTTACTGCGAAGGATCGTTCTCATATACGTCTCATAACCGCAGTTCACACATATGTTTCATATGTTTGTTGTTGTTTGATTTATCATCTACGGGTTTATATCGAATTAATTTGATGGCCTGCTCCCAGTTGGCTTGTTAGCTCAATTGGTAGAGCGCTGCACTAGTATCGCAGAGGTCAGTGGTTCGAATCCCGTACAGGCCTGAAATTTTTTTCAGGTCTGATTTTCACTATTGCTCAAATAGTGCTTTACTGCGAAGGATCGTTCTCATATACGTCTCATAACCGCAGTTCACACATATGTTTCATATGTTTGTTGTTGTTTGATTTATCATCTACGGGTTTATGTCGAATTAATTTGATGGCCTGCTCCCAGTTGGCTTGTTAGCTCAATTGGTAGAGCGCTGCACTAGTATCGCAGAGGTCAGTGGTTCGAATCCCGTACAGGCCTGAAATTTTTTTCAGGTCTGATTTCCACTATTGCTCAAATAGTGCTTTACTGCGAAGGATCGTTCTTATATACGTCTCATAACCGCAGTTCACTCATATGTTTCATATGTTTGTTGTTGTTCATACCATGATAGTTGATATTTTTTAGTTCTCTAAAATTAAAATTGCTTATAACCTTGTAACACAACAGCTGCATAATATTCTATTCAACATTGTATGTGTCTTTAATAAATAAATAAACTTTGGCTGTAACCTAGCAGCTTGAAAACATAAAGTTGAACGGTTGTTACAAAAATTTAAACATAGAGTTTGAACACCTAATCTAAGAAATAGACCTAGAACAAAACGTTTATTTCATTAATTTTTCACTTGGCTTTAAGTTTTTATTTTTTCATGAGTACAGCGTACTCCCTCTGTGTTTAAAAATTAGTAAAATCTACGATTTTTCATAGAACAAAGGAACTTGAAAATTAGTAATCAAACATGCAAAAGCCCAGATTTGATTTATACTACCAGCTACAGTCAGTGGGATTACACGATCAAAGTAGTGAAACTCTTTAATCCTGCATATATATCTTTCTACATGAACCCTTAAGTTAGTTATTTGCTTATTATGAGAAAGTTCTTTCTTAGAGAATTTGCCCTTACTCTGGAGAAAAGCAGGCATTGCCACACTGCACCCTAATGGTTGTAAAAGCTCCTCTATTACAAAGTCTTTATCAGCCATAGTTTTATCACCTGGTTCAAGTAAATCCAGTAGACCTGACTGCTTAGCAATTTCCTTATCAGATATGCTGCCTCCAAAAAGAGAACTTATGTGAATAATTTCCCCTTATGGTGATATGACCACATTGCCTTGTAGGTAGTGTGGCTTTTATAGGAGGAGTAACAGCAGCTATTTAAAACCATACTTGATGGTGTTTGCACCTTTATTTCAGAGGCATCTATGATAACACGGCTCGTAGGATACAATGACTTGAAACACTTTGGCATATGCTTGTCGATAATACTTCTAGCTGGCCAAATGGGACTAGTTCCCAAAACAAAATAGAGAAAATTAATCCACGAAATAAAAACTCTGCTTACGGTTGACTCAGAAATATTAAATTCCCTTGCTAGTTTCTCATTGAAAGTGCCTAGCCTTAACTTGGTAACACATAAATAGAATTGATCAAATAAACTAAGTTTACATGCCCTAATGGCATTTCCGGTCTTGTTTATTTCATTTTCTCCTTTATTCCTTACTCTCTGAAACTGCGACCACGAGTACATTTTTTCAGCTGTTGGCCTCAAAGCATTAAATGTACTTACAAGAACTTCAAATGAGAAAAATCCAGTGTGAAACCTTACACTCTTGTTAGACATGCCTTGCAATTGTCTGTACAATGATTCTTTCTTTAGCAGTTTTTCTAGTTCCTCGATGCGCTTTTGTGCTGCCTCCAATAGGTCTTCTACGGAGAACTGCCTACTTACCGAGAAAGTTTCGCTGGTATCGCGTCTAATTTGAACCATCCATTGTCTTCTAAGCGCTTTGTCTTTAGGAAACTGATGGAATGTTAAGTTATTAAGTGCTTTTGATCTATTATTGCTGCACTTGGGAACACTGCAGTGATCTTTGTTCGGCATGATTCGATTACCTGAGGCGATCAGGAACCACGCGGCGCCTCGTTCTCATGTAAACACATTACGTCATTTTCAAGACGGCGGGGGAGTGATAAGGGCAAATTAGGAAAAAAGGCATTCTTTACAAGTGCTGCTGTGCACCGACTTAAGTCTACAAACTGATGTCTTTCTCTACAAATATCTAACATCTCTAAGGCAGTGATTATACGTACTATTTCCTTATTTTCCTATTCCTTTAAGTGTGTACATTCAAATTTTAGACCATTTTAGTACATTTTTATGCTACACTGGAATTGGCTCATACAAATAGGGCTCAAGAATTTCTACAACATCAAAGCGCTTAACATTTCTAGCTTGAAGAATATGCACTAATTCTGCTACAGTGAACAGCGGTTGCCTAGCTATCAGCGCCCCCAACATCACCATGCTAGGACTTCCTTCAGGAGTTAGTATCTCATCTCTAAAACGCTGAATCTCTTCCTCGCTGAATCCAAGGGATGCTCCAACATGTCGCCAATTGCCTTTTCCTTTGAGTGGCCTATCCAGTGTCATGCAAACAGTATGAAACACTTCTTTTGGGAGTTTTTCAAGATAAAGGGACGCCTTTTCTTCATTAATAATGACTGGATCTACAAAAAATATATATATGGGTTATTAAGTGCAGCACAGGTAATGCTGTTCACTGAATGAAAATGGTTGATGGTCAAGTCGCCAAGGGTTACTTGTTACTGGTGAAAGTTTCAATGTCACTCCTTTACATTTGCCTGCAGTTTGAAAGATTGACTAGGGAAAAATGTCACTATTACATGAGCATCATTTGATTAATACTATTTTTTGGGCAATTAGGTTAATTAGCACCTCTTTCACAGTGGTTCACTCTGTTTCAGTTACTCTAACTGTATTCTCCTTCGCAGTCGTTGTGTAGTCTCGTCACACAACGCGCTCTCTCCTTAGTATAATGAGAGGAGGAGAGACAGCGTTGCGTGACGATTCCAAACAACGGCTGCGAATGAGACTATTCGAAAAGTCAATGAAGGCACAGCATATGGCCTTACCACACGAGTTCCTGCCTGTCACTAGACGATGGCGGTCATTACTGAAGCTTGGTTGCCGCTCCTCAGGCCTCCTAAATGGGTCCTAAAGAAATAAGTGCATTAACTTTTAAATAATGGAACGGTAGGCAGTAAAGTTATACTATTTCTACACGAACACTCAAAAAGTAAATTCCGATTTACTAAATTAGTACATTACATAATCATGCTATATGGCTCGTGTGAAAGAGAATGAAGGAATATTTACACCTGATTGGATGTCAGTGAGACTTAATGGTTGTTTTTTTTTTAGTGGCTTTAAAAGTTACATTTTCAAATAATACACTGTATGCAAATAGTCTTAGATATAAGGAGCTAAACAAGTTCAAATGATTAGAAAAGCACTAGTTTCCGAGTAAAAATAACAGACGTTAACCGAACTTATTGCCAAAAATTTTTCAATCTTAAAGAATGAACTACTTCAAATTATTAATTTAAGATAAAAGGACACCTACCTCTTTAATCGAGGCAACTGCACAAATTGTGGTTGTTGAATCTCCAGTAGTTAGTTCAAATATACAAAGGAAATCTCTGTTGCGACCATTGTCATGTTTAAAAACTATTTCTGCTCTGGGTATCATTTGATAGGATTCCTTCAAATGTTTTTGTGTGATACACTGTGAGATTAAAAGAATATAAGTCAGGTGAAATTTCATTCTTTTCTATCTAGAAATGGGAACATCAACGTAAATGATCAATAGTATAAATACAATTTTTATATAAATCATTCCCTGCAATCAACCTGACCTTCTTCCCTTTTCAAATTTCTTTAATTACACTTTTCATTCTTTAAAGTTTCCAAATTTCTCTGAAAGGAAATGTCTAGTACCTTTTTGTGTACTTTTACTTGTCTTACTTTTTTGTGTATCCATTGCAGGAAAAAACATACGGTCCTATAGTTATTGAATACACGATGATGGTTTTCTTCCTTTAACAGTATAATTTCTTATTTGCATTAGAAAACATTTACCAAATCCGACAAAACTACAAGTTTTTTTTAAAAAATGTTAGGATTGGGACAGGGTTCAAAGGGTTGTATAAAAAATGTTATGCATGGATTAAAAAAAGTTAAATAACTGTAGAGTTATAGAGAAAGTATTAAACTGCAGTTGTGGAACTACCTCTGGTTTAATCTCTCCAACAGTCCACCCCTCGACTGGCTGTTTTACAGAAATCTTGATAGCAGTTTCAATTGCCACAGTTTCGACATAGATAGACTGAGGGGAACCCAACAAAATTCTTCCACTTGACCTCTCTTCTTGCATGATTTTCTGGAAAAAGGAAATATGTGTTTATAAGACAATTTGCAAATTCACCTTATCACGTTGTGTTGATTACAAAACCATACAGTGAGAAAGTGAGAGTGGTCTCCAGTATGAGAGTTGTGTGCTTTATCTTTTTTTCACCCAGTGATAGTTAATTGTTACAGAATTACTTAACATATGGCAAGTGTGGATAAATTATATTTTGGTTTCAGATTAGGTCCACGCTTGCTTACGTTCCTCACCCTAGAAGAGTGAAGTACCAGAATACCAGTAATTTGGCAGTGTATATTTACCCATCAGTACCTGTCTCAGATGTGACTTTAATCCTGGGCCCTTAAACAAGCCTTGCAGTTTGTTTGGAGAATATATTACAAGAAGGTGTCAAAAATAACATTTTTCAGTGTTCATGTACCTGTGCCTTCTAATGTAAATCTCATGTTAATTGTATATCAATCAAAATGAAGTCTATTCAAATGAACTAAACAAATGTTTAATTGTATAAGTACCTCTAATGATGCCTCACAGTCATCAAAGACATACAAATATGCTGTGTAGTCCATGCCAACTGTACCCTCTCCACCAAAAACAGCACACTGAAGGCGCTTCTTTGTTGGTTTGCCATTGTCCATTGATGTACCATTGACTACGTAGGAACTAAGATTATCCACTTGAAAGCTGACTTCATTATTGTGGACTTCAAACTGATTTTCCTTCTTCCACCATATTGTTTCATTATGTGGTAGAGAGCTTTTTAATGTGATTTCCCAGTCATTACTTAAAAAAACCAAAGCACTATGTGGTATTCTAACTTGCACTGGTTTGGATAGTTGCTTCCCATATGGATGAAACTTTATCACAGGGCTAAGCTGCACTTCACCAGATTGAGGAGAAAGCATGCAGTAAACATCCCAACATATCTCCAATCTTATTTCTTGAGCATCATTGAAGAAACTCTCTGTATCGCTGAACTGGACTAAAACACCTGATTTATCAAAAGATAAGGTCTCCTGTGCTCCATGAGCTATCGGCTCCTCCAATGATATCGAGAGACTATGGCCATGGGGCACTGGAAAAAAAAAATTACATGACAAGCTTAAGGTGTAGTATTAGCGAGTCCAATCTGCTCACTTGCTAAGGTGCTAACTGACTGGATCACAAAAAGTAAACAATAAGCTGAATTATTGCTGTCTTTATTTCTGTTTTAAAACCTCTCTATAAGGTTCTCAATCACTTTAAGTAAAAAAAATTGCTTGAATTGATGTTTCTTACTTAACCTGTAATTAACAACTTCCCATAAAGAATTTAAACTATATACATTCAAGCAAGCATAATATAGTTTTTAACACTTTCCTCATTAATCCTTGAAAAGTTGAAGTAAAAAACCTTTTCTTGAAATTAACTTCCATCTAATTTCTTTATATTTGTTTCAATAAATCTTGAATAATTGTGATTATTTACACATGAATTCATAATAACATTTTAAAAAATTAATTTGAATATCATTTCATCAGTATTCAATTCAACCTTTTGTATATACATCAGTTAAATGTATGAAACGATGAAACCTTACCTTCCTCTAAAGATGGCTGCAACTTGGCATAAAAAAATCTACTTAGAGAACCTCTATTCTTTCTGTATTTCAAGTATCCCAACAACAACGATGCCATGATTGCAAAAATTATCCCTACTATCATCACTGTCAATAAAGTGGTAGTGATTGTGGTTTTCTGTTCAATGACAGTCCCAATTTTGCTTCCTTCCTGACATACTGTGATGGATCTCTGAGTGTAACTACACTGTGTACTCTTTGGCATACTGTGTCTCACACATTCAGGAATTTGAACATCTTTTTCATCACCACAGCAGGCAGAGCATGGCTTGCATTCTGTTCCATTCATACTATAAAATCCTTTATTACAATTTCCACAAACCCTATCGTGTGTCAGATTGCAGGGTGTCATTTCTATCTGTCCAACTGAACAAGTAGCTGAGCATGTCTTGCAAGGGTGTGTACCTGGCTTTTCGGAATATGTTTTACCAAGAGAGCATTTCATACATTTGACATCATCAATACTCTCTAGTATATGTCCACTTCCACATGGAATAGAAGGCGATGTTCCTGCTGGACAGCTCTTACAATCCACACAGTGTGCACTCCCTTTTTTGTTTGTTACAACAAGGTATTGGTTATCTCTACATTTTGGTGCTTGACAATGGATAGCATTGGCATCACATCTTTGATAGAATGGCATGTTTTTACATTCATCTTTCACACTATTGCTTGTTTCAGTGTGGTTGGGGAGAAATGAGCAACAAAAGGAACATGGCTGACAATCTCCAGTTAATCCTTCACTATAGAAGCCTTTATCACATTGTCCACACACCGAATTTGAAGTAAAATTGCATTTCTTTATTTCTCTTTCATGATCTGCACATATTCCACATGGACTGCAAGATCTAATATCATGAGCCATAGAATATGTTTTTCCAAGCTCACACTTTTTGCACTCAATGCGGGTTCCATATTTAACCAAATTATTGCACTGCGGAGTCAAGCCATATCCAGGAGGACACTTAGGGCAACTGATGCAAGAATAGTTACCCATCACATCTTCAACTTTAAACTGGTTCCACCTACACCGTAGGGAATAACTTGCAGCACATACATATATAATCTAGAGGATAAAAAAAACAATATACGAAATAACCATGCAAACTTAGTATAATCATGTTTGGAAAATTTAGAATGATGCAACTCTATCTCAAAATGGATGAAATGTGTAATGTTAATGTTCTCTTTATCGAACCTAACCTTGAGATATTTGGCATGAACTCTTAAGAGACAGTTTTTACAGTCATGACAACTGATGTTTGTGGACCTATTTTTTACAAAGTATTTTGAAATCAATTGATCAACTATTTCTGTAAGAAAGTTGGCAATAAAGCTAATGAAGGGGCAATATACTCACAAAGAACGACAGCAAGAAGAAAAATGACAATGTCTTGGCCATGCTCAAACCACTTAGTAATCCCTGCAAAAGAAAGGACGACCTTTGTAAAAACGCAACTTCGTTCAGTTCAATAATGCGCACCGAGCACTAGCAGTGGGATGAAACATTTCGTTGACATAATTCCTCTACAGTTGCTTACTCAGCACATGCTTTCCAAAAATATGATTACGCAGCATAATTTTATGCTTACTTCGTAGCAAGCCTTTTTAGCACAAAATGCCTGACTAATACCCATAACAAAAATAGCGCCTCTGAATTCCGAATTTTAATTTTTTTCGAAGAACAGTAGCAATTATAACATCTTAACTATAAAGATCATACGTTTAAAACGTCTTTGAGGTAGGGCTACGTCTATCACGACGGTTACGTTAAGCGTCTACCGGAAACAAGACTAAATTACAATTTTGTTGGATCAAGCTACATTTTACATGCTTTTGACGATCTCCTTGTTATCAAAGATACAAAAACTTTTTAATACTTACAAATTGAAATTGTAAATGGGAACTATGAACGTGGTTCCCCGACAGCAGTTGGTGTACGAGCGGGTTCGACCGAACTTACGTCCCTAAACATCTGTATAATTGTGGTGTAAGTATTCGGGGATTCCCCGACGAGATTGCGTCACGTCCGGAGAGGGAATGAGAAATACGCTTAGCTTGCCAATTTTTATTTTGTTCGAAGTCATTGTAGGCGGCATTCAAATATGGCAGTTCCATGAGGATTGTTCTGTAATGAGTGGAAACGAACGGTTTGATTATGGGAAGGCCGTCCAGGCAAATTGTGCCAACTGTGGGGTTGTACAGATTCCTTCCAGGGTGTCGCTTAACACTTCATGCCCACGATGTAAAGGGGTTCTTGTTTTGAACACTGTCGACTTGCACTCACAAAGGAGAAGCACAGACAATCGAGAGCAAAACTTACTTCTCCAGGATGATAACGAAGATTTGGAGAACACAACACTGGCTCCTTCGACTGAGGATTCTGCCGAGTTGGACACGGTGTCTCTACAACATCTGAGCTTAGCGACTGATGAAAACCTTTCTGGTTTACCGCTACAGGAGAGCTTTGAAGCAAGTTCAAGTCGACGAAAAGCAAGCACGTACCCAAGTAAACTTTCGAAGACTCCGACTGAGGGAAATGACGAAAACGGAATAAATGGCGTGTGCCAGACTTGTGGTAGGTAGTTTATGTAACAGTTACGATTAGTGGAGAAATCGAATTGACAATTACATAGTCGGAACTTCCTCCAAGCCGATGAAAATTTAAACTGACTTCCAGTTAATAAGCATAAGAGAGGACCAACAAGAATCACAATCATCTTTACACATCTTTGCTTTTTCTGTTATTTTAGGGGAGTTGAACTCGACCCACGAATGTCTGTCTTGCTTCATAGCAGTATTCAAGCGAGGAGTTATCTCTGGAAAGAATCGAAGTCTTGTCGTGTACATTATTCCGAAGGAAAAATTCGATTTGGTAAGATAAGGATTTTTCTCTCCTCTAGCCGCTAGACATTTCCTTTTGAATTAGTTCCGAGAATTTGGTGTTGAATCAAGATAGCACTTTCTACATCATAACTGTTCGCGCGTTTTTATTGCCTGTATGGATATTATAGTGAGAGGGTAAACAAGTAGTCGTGCTCATAAACTATCAGTCAAATCCTTCAAAAAATCTGTGAGTTTGATCGCACGAAAGTTGTTCCTTAAGAAAACCGTGTGGGGGCACAATACTTACTGCGTCCTCAACTACACAACATTTCCAAACTTTTGAACAATTATGTACATCTAATTGAATAGAAGTTTACAATATTGGTCGAGAAACTCCTACCAAAGGTATTAGATTAGATTCAAGATAACGTAGACATTGACCAATCTGTTCATGGTCAATTTCGGTCTCACAGGTGTTTGCCAAAATCGTCCAAAATGAAGCAGCTGCATACGAAGGAACCGAGATAGCTGTGATCGATGACAAAAGAACCTTCTTCTGCTATCATCCTCAAATGGCAATCCAAAATGAGTTAACAATCATTTTTAAAATGGATTGTGGCGAATGTTTCGCTTTGATCAGTCCTGCGGTAAGTAACACTTTAAATCCTGAACAATTCTCAGTCTGAGCTTTATTACTACATTTTAATTTACTCTTTAGCATAAATTGTTGTGGATAGCCTAGGATTAGCCGGGCATTAAGAGCCTGGGGCTTGCCAAGTTTAATACCACTTAATAGAATTACCCTGCTCATTATAATAATAATTTACATTTCTAGAGCGCTAAAATTATAAAATATTCTAAAGCGCTTTACAACATATTAACTACAAATATTAAAATGATAAACGACAAGTATTTCATTGTTGGGTTTGATTCATTGTTGGGTTTGATTCTAGAATAGTACTTATTCTACGCTGTATACAGATCTTCTTAAAATGGCAGGTCGACCAGGCACCCTATTTGCATCCTGTTATGTTAGGACATTCTTAAAATGAAAATAAATTTGTTATCAACTAGCCAAAAAGTTGCGTAATCCGAGAGTACAAAAACTGAGAATTGATAATATTTCAATAGTCAACCACCCTTGGTGTCCAACATGTACTTGCAAAAAGTGAAGAGAGAATATTTCCTGGCGCTCATGTCAAGCTGGTCACTGCATATGTTGGAGAGGAAAATACTCTTCGTGAAGACAAAGTGAGAATGGCACTGCTGAGTGGACAAGCGAGACTGGGCATTCTCATTCCTACTAAGGTATGGCTTTAGTAAAATTGATATCTTTAACCAACTTCTGTGTTCGTATTGTTCGAGTCACCAATAACAAAACTGAAGATTTTCTTCCTCTTCAGCACTGATAACATTCATATCAGATCTTTTCATTCACAACCCAACTTCTAAAATTGCAATTGACTCGAACATCATTTCAATTTGGCTTTACCAATTGTGTACATTTCTCTATTTAATTGTTATTAGAAATTGGTTATGATTTAATTAACCAATCGAATTTTTTTTCATGATCTTCTAATTTGTTTTTGCAGAGCTCCCCATCGATAACAGTCTTACCTCTAAAGGGGTTGCTTCTTCAGATAGTAAACTGTTTGTAGTTGTATCTGACAAATGAAACAAACAACTGCGACCAACTCAAACATAAAGGATCGAATGATTTTTAGTCGACAAAACGTATTTATAGAGTGTTTTAAAGAAAGCTCCCCCTCCTCCTCCGCAGTAACAAGCTGAACTGCTTACTACTGGCAGAGTACTGCTGGATTATGACAATCCAGAATAGGTACTTCCTTATCAACGGCCAGCTAACATCTTGTCTCCCAGTATTCTGTGTTACACACAGAAAGTGCTAATCAATATAATTATGAATTTCTGTATTCTTAGGTTCATCATACACCAACCGATGTCCTTGATGGTCTAAACTACTCAGGTACAAAACTTAAAATTTCTTTTTAAATGTTCAGTTCAAACGAATTTTCGTGTAAATTAGTGAACGTACTTTTCTTGATCTCGATATCAGTCTGGAAATCAAAACATCGAAAGAAAGCTCTCTTGAAACGTGAAATATATCATGCTTCANCACGGTGTCTCAAAACCGCAAATATTGTAAGGGATACTTCATATAACGACAAACAAAGCGAGCTTAAGTTTTGTATGGCAAAATTAGAAGATTATTTGCCTGCTGGTAAAGGGCTAAGCTGCCTCGGGATGACCTTGGAACGAGCTTAATACCAGACGACATCGCTGCTAAGCCTTTGGCTTATGAAAATCCTGCGGCGCTGAAATCAACTGGAAACAGCAATTGTTTGTGTAGTTAAGTGCCGTATTTTAGCCAGTACAAAAAGAACAAAAGTGTCTCTATTATCTTAATATTTTTTATCGTGGCCATCGACTTAGGTGGGGACCGGTTCGAGCAATAAGAGTGTGAGGGCCTGGCACTAGCACATTGATCTTCGTTGCGTTTTCGTTCCGTTTCGGCGAAGCACTCTTAGTTGAATCTAGGTACAGAAAGATGGCCCCCATATGTCTTATACACAGAGCTTAACAGGGTACCAGCATAGTTCCAACTAAATGGAAATAATAAGAGAAAGATACCCGAAGCCTTCACAAGAACGTTCTTCGAACGGACAAACACGCTTATTGAGATGTAGGACTCTGTTACCGTTACACGGCTTTTGTTAAGTATGTATATTGCGTTAAATGAAAACATTTTGTTGAAAGGTTAAATTTTGTGCTTAACTATAAATTAAGGTAAGTTATACCATGGGTTCCATGAGGAATTACGTTTTCTTTAGTTTGCGGCAAATTCAGCGGCGAAGCCGCGATCGTAGCGTGGCAAGCAAGAAACCAAAAAAAGAAAAACCAAACACTTGTTTTTGGCGACCAAACCCTTCTATCTGGCGACCAAAATTTTTAGGTTAGTCGCCAGTTGGCTCCCTTAGGAAAAAGTTAATTTCTGACCCTGATTGCCTGAAAGTTACTTGCTTAAAGCTGTGTAATCTCTGATATCCTTCATTCAGTACCGAAAGAAAAACTACATCCGTTATGCTTTCAAAGGCATACCACTACTAATGAATGAATCATTTGAATTAAAGTTACTTGACGGGAGATGAGGGAATTTCAGATCTAAAGATCCGCTAACATACCTTATAATCTTTTCACTTTTCCTATTCCCTCTTTAAAAAAATTGCGAAAAATATGTCATCTACACTATATCTTGGTTCTTAGTCTTGTTCTGACGATCAAATCAAAACAAAAGGGCGTGTACCCAATGTAATGCCTCCAGTTTGTGAAGGCAGAAGTTCACGTTTCGGAACCTTCATCTGGTCGATTATCAAGCTTGCAGCAGAATGATGCAGTCTCCGATGTTTTGTTCTTTTCCCTTTCCACTTTTCGCATCAGTGAGATTTGCCACATTTGTGACTTGTTCTCCCTCTGAAGGAAAAAACTAATAGTTACGACATGGTCAACTCAGCAAAGACTTTTGCAAATCAATCCCAGCAAATTGACCTTCATCCATTAGAAGGCTAACAAAGCCCTCAACAAGTACAAAAAAACTCACCATTTACAGCATTTGAAAAAAAGCTCTGGTTTGTTTTCTGGATTGGATTCTACAATGAAACAAATAAAGAATAAAACTCTTTCTCTCGTCACATCTCTCGATCCAAAAGATCAGAAAAACGTACTGATGACGATAACTACACTGCTGGTAAACTCTCATTGGTGTTGTCGATTAAATTTGACAGTTTTCATCGACCCATTTATACCTTTAACTCCAAATGATTAGTTTCTGGTTCTAAACAAAAAATGTGACCCGAACCAGGAAAAAAAAAATTTAAAAACAAATGACTCGATCCAAATCAAAATAGACTAAAACGGAGGCCACTATGTCTCCTACAAATTAACACATTTAAATCAAAATCATTTTTTGCTGTAAACGTACCTCTGAATGTACCTCCTTTAAAGCAGTGCTTGCATAAATTAAAGTTTGACAGGATGCTTGAGTCAAAACAATAGTGGCGAAGAAGCTGCTTTTCTTTTCGTTGGATGTTGAGCTAAATACCAGGTTGCACCTGGGAAATGAACTGAAAGAGTTCTTCAGAGATGCATAGCTGATTCCCTAGATAAAGGAGAACAAGATGCAAACGTTTTCAAAATCATCAAGGGTTACTAACACTTTCAGGGGCCTACAAACAAAGTTCATCATCAGGCTCAACATACTTAAAATCTTAATAAAAGCTTTAAGTTTCATTTTTCCTAGAAAACTCGCACAGTGCTCAAAAAATGCCTGCAAAATACCATTGGTTGACCACTCTCCAGCTTCCAGCCATGCATATCCTTTACACCAATTTTCACATCCTCTTCACGTATAACAGAAAAATCAAGAGATTCAACTGATGACATCGGCTTTCCTCCTTCCTTTTTCTCCATCCTCAAAAGGTTCTGTGGAGCAAAGTCAGACAAGTTCGTTCAAACAGATTACTTACAGAAATAGATCTATTAAAGTTAAGTAAAATAACCGACCATCTATGGAAGTTATGATCTTTCATGAATTAGACCTGCAAAAATTATAAATCAAAATTACATATACTTATAATTACCTCATAGATCCTAATTAAGACTTCAGNGAGAGGTGTCTCTCCTCGGCAAGATAGGGTAACCCTGGAAGGCGAGACAAGTTTTCTCATGTAAACATCTCGTCTTGCCCACCCAAGGCGCGACAACACGAACAGAAAAACCAGCCCGTGCATTTTACAGCTTTTCTTTTCCTTGTCATCCGCCACTTTGTCGAATACGTGACCTGGCCTGGCCGAACGAGGGTTACCAGATGTCAAATTTCATGTAAACGCTCCGTAAACTTGTCTCGCGGGGAAGGCTGTCTCAGGTACCCGAGACTATTTCAATGGGGCCTAAATCAAACATGGCCGTCTGATCGTCGCCCCGATAAACGATCGCGAGCTGGTAACATCTTGAAAACTTCAGCCTCAGTCTAATGCGAATTGGTACTGATCAAAGTTGGCGTTCTATTGCCATTCCTTTCCTTTTATGCTCCCTACACCTAATATAAGTACAATAAAAATAACCAGCAGATTTTAGCGGACGTTTGGCTCAAGAGGTTTTCACTTCCGCTTGACATTTCACCGTTTTTGAGATATGAAATGATACAAGACAACCTTACCAAGACACAGAAGAAAACATAGTGTCTAAGTTGACAAAACTCCATTTCTTTAACCTCGACTGACCGCCAAAGGTAACGGCTACCTTGAGTTTACAACTGCAGAAAATTGGTCGATTGGAAGAGACGGTGTTGACCCTCTCCGGTGACAAATATATCGACAAGAATTGGCAAATGTGAATATTCCTTCGAGACGCCACTCGATGGATATGTTTTGATATGAACGATTGCTAGATCTTCCCAACAGAAAGGAAGAAGTTGACAACTAACTCTGTACTGTTCTTCAAGGAAATAATCACTCTTGATTCAGAATATTTGACATGCTGGCCTTTCACTTTCGAAGGGGTTTCCCCGAAGTTTGTCTCAGTCAACCAATCAGCGTTAACAGGAAACATCACCAAGCCAACGAGAAGCCAATAAGAGGCGCCCTCTTTTAGTTCCCTTTTTTCTAGGAAAGGGATAAATTGATGTAAAAGAAAGCAAAACGGCTGAAAATGGGTTCAGAGGACAGGAAAAGCAAGGTAACAAACTTTCAGTGATGTAATATTGGTTAACCTTTGTTAAGAAGTTTCTCTTTCATTTAAGATTAAGAACCACTGAGCTACGTCCTTATACACAAGGGGGATAATTGCATTTGAAGGGAACTTTCACTTTCAAAACACTTCCACAAAGATGTCGATAGTGGTTCTGTTAAACTCGAAACCTGGCACGCCCTCTAATCTTTCCCTGATCAACACCCTTTATCGGCCTCCTCCTATCAAAAAGCCGGTTCTTCTACCTGTACAATACCCAGGTGTACGAAAATTTGATGTTGTTCAATCTCTGTGGCCATTGCCTGAAATATATTAAACTTTGTGCGGAAAATAATTATACGCGCGTTAAAGTGCAATAAAAGTGACTGCCATCAGAAACAAAAAGAGAAATAGTGATTCAAAGTGCTTATTCTTTGACTTAGAGAAACGATGAAGTATGGAATGAAAGAGATGACGACTTTGAAGATAGTGACGACGTTGTCCAAGATGAGTGGACAACCGACCTTACTGATTCTACACAACCGGGTGCATCCGGCTTTAGTCCCACAGAATCTTGCGCTTGCCCTGGAGGAAAGACACTTTTACTTGACGTGAATGCAGCTCTCTGCCCCCTTTGTGGGAAACCCTTTGACAAAACTTTAGAAGATGCTACTTTAAATGCGACAACTGCGGCTGATCAATCGGGCGCAACAGCAAATGGCGAAGTGGACGCAGTAACTTCACTTCTGGTAGACGGACTAGTTATTGTTCCATCCGAAGCATCTCTCGAAGATGAGATTTTTGCCTCAACACCAGAGAATGAAAGTATTAATACAGATCCTCCACGTGAGGAAAGACAAGCTGGAATCAAAATTCCGGTTGAAAGTAAGTAACTTGCTTCAACCTTGCTAATCAACAAACGAGCCTAATCTTTGACCTACGTTTTTATGAAGTGTATACAAAGCTCAAAATGAGTTGTACTCGTTATTCTAAATAAAGAACACGCATTGTTTAGAACGACTCAATAAATCCGCGGTTAAACTCAACGTTTTACTTTATTTTGACTAAGAACAAAACCTCCACGGCGAATACTCGATCTACACAAGGCAAAAATTTCGAACGAAGTAAAAGTACTTGACATCAAATTTTGTTCCCTGTCACTCATTTTAAAAATACCATAAATGTTACGCAACGTCACGTTCTCCTGAACACGCATAGTAAGCTAGTATCCATCTGAATTGTTAGTTTCACGAAGAAATAATGACTGCTGACTTTGCGTAACATTTCCTTGATTCAAAATAACCATTTAACGAAATTAAAAGGCTTAGAATACCATTCAATATATGAATAAAGACACAATTCACCAACCTGCTTTGCTAGCATTGGTATGGCTATTTTAATAAAGCTCTGAAGTTGTAATCTAAATAAAGTTGTGGCGCAGTCACTTTCTGAACCTATTAAGTCGATCTAGACATTTACTAATGATTAACGTGTAATTGAAAATAACCCTCTTCGGAGCGGAGAGTAAATTGCGCAAAGAAAATGAGGTATAAGATAGAAGTAACAGATGTTGAACTACAAAATAAAAGTGATACTTCTTGCTATTATTTGTGCCAATAAATGTCACTCAGTCTAAATCTTATTTTTTTTTAAATAATATTTCAAGAATCAAATTTGACTTAAATCGTATTCGATACACTGAATACAACCCGGCTTTATATAGTAACTGCTTTAGTAATCGTATAACTTCACGTGTGTAGAATTAACATTCTTTCAAAATAGATGAAAAGCAGTCAGACACTACTGCACAGTTTAACATTCAAAGATCTGCAGCTGCAAATCGATAAGTCCACAATAAGAAGGTAATAGATTGGGATAAAGTTGGTTGTTTAAATCAGGGAAATGCTTCATGCTCTTCTAGACCCTGAAATTATATTCAGTTCCTTAGCAAGTTCAAAAGCCTTTTTGGATTGATTCACACAATGATCTCAGGAAAACCCCCCAAACAAGAGAATCTTATGCCAGCTGAATTGATATATTATAAACAAGAAAAACAACATAAACAATTCATATTAACGTTGTGTAACAATATTGTGAGTGAGTGCTCAATACAAGCAAAATACTTTGAAAAAATTGTTTCTATAGTGTTGTTGATCATAAATTTTTTGTAGGGTTACATTATTAACGAATTAAAGAATGATGCTATCGATTAACACCTGCGAAATAATTATCGAGACCATTTCAATATGACTGATAGATGTAGTCATGTACCTGTTACATAAAACGTCATCGCTCTACTTTTCTTTCAGGTGATTCACGCTCATCAGTACCACTGCCCTGTCCACCTCTCCTTTTGACGTACTTCGTGCTGAAACGAGATTATCGAAATGTAAATGAAATGTCCTTTTCATTACATTTTGTGGAAAATTCTGACCAGGTAAAGAAAACCATCATAATACACTGATAGAGCACGGTTGAAAAAAGCTACAAAAAAACCCTCATATTCAATCCGAATGGATTGAAGAGGTCACTTAGATCAATGCCAACAATTACTGTTGCCCACTTTTTTAAATGTGGAGCTAACTGAATCATTGCCCTGCAAGATCAGAACTGATTACCCTTAAAAATGCGGTCAGGTTGATACCTTCACCTTGTTTAGAGTTTTGGCCCACAATCATTAACAATTGAGACCCCTTGATATTTGATTAAATGAGAGATAGCGTGCCTAACATCAGCTTGATAACCTTTTACATGGGCAAACTACAATATTAAAATCCCAACAACAAATTATGTCAGGAAAGATGCTCATTTTCAGGTTTGAATTATATGTCACTGAGTGTACCTCGGATCTGTAACTTCCTTCAACTTAAATTACTTTAATTTTCTTTCTTGTTCAGGGGAGGGTACTTGAATCTGTGCGACATTTGGAGCAACAGCTAGGAATACCGCTACACGTTGTCTCCCTTGGTGAGCAACATTCTACTCAAGTAGAGCACAAGCATTTACACACCCTCTATGTAAATGACCAAATTATGGTTAAGTTTCAATTGCTGAGACAATGTGAAACAAGATTTACTCTGCAAGATCAGCCACCCTTCCAGGTAAAGGAACTAAAACTAAATACTCCATGAAAGACTGTCATGAGCAGGAGTACTGTTTAAGGACCACTCTTTAAGTTGGTTCGTTTCTTGGTTTTAGTTATCTTTTTTTGTCTCATTTTTTATTCATCACTGCAATGAATCAATACTTAAGAGGGAGGGAGGAGAGGCAGGAATGACTTTCAGTTGATTAGCTTGAGCAGATGTATGCTCCATCAACTGAGGGGTTTCATGCACTCCATGTACTCTACTATACTAGACTTGGTTTCACAAGGTTGTTACAACAATATATCACAATCTTTTTGTCTTAAAGAGAATAGCAAAAAATATGATTGTGTTTTAACCCTTTTACCCCTGTGGATGACCAAGATACATTTTCTCCATACAATATCAAATTGAATACAATATCAAGCAGACAAGTGATGAGAATAAGGAAAAATATCAATTAGGGGATTATTAGTTGATCCAATATCAAATTCTCCAAACAAACACCATCAAAAATGTAAGGCAGACAATCTGGAGAATTAAATTTGTACTAATGAGGTCCCCCGAGTTACAGGGTAAAACAGGAAATTTTTAGCAAATTTCCCACAAGTGCTCCACATCCCTACCTAAAAGGTATATATAGAACATGCATTATTGCTACATCACAACAAAATAGACAGCTAACGCTTGTTTCTCTGATTCTGAGAGACACCCATTAAATCTAGATGCAATAAACTCTATTGGAAAATACACAATAATTCACTGAAACTATTCTTTTTTTCTTACTTCTTCTTGACAGGTACCTTTGATTCATATAAAGTCCCTATGTCAAGACAGAATACCTACATCTGTTGCTCAAGTTCATGTGACACCTAATTGTCAACCTGGAGAAGTTTGTCAAGATCATATAAAGATGACAATAGACACTGGGCAAACTACTCACATCATGTTAATTCCTATCTGGGTAATTCGAACCATGTTTGTTCAAGTATATGCATGATTTCACCCCAGCTATCCTTGCCATTCTGTCCCTATTACATAAAATGTTTGGAAACTCGTGTAGGGGTTGACAATGACTGTATGAAGTTTTTAGCTATCTCCTAGCTATAGGAAGAAGAAACATAATTATATTACTTTAAATCAAATAAAGGAACAACAGTAATTGTTTAATGGACTGAAAACTTTCACCTGGCACATATCTTTTTAAAAGAATTTTCTTCTTTTTCTTCAGTCTTCACTGCCAGCCAATCCAGGAGAGTAACAAATGCCCTTAAACCTGGTGAGTAAAATAAATTATTGGATTAAACTGCACAAAATTAAGTTTTCATTGGTTCTTACCTAACCATCTTTCTCCTTTTAACTGCCTGCATTCGGATGTGTTGCATCGATAGAGGATACATTATCTTCTGGTACAGACAAAGACTGATTAGTCATAAATAATGGCTAACTATAAAATCCCATGATTCCTAGTGTATTATAAAAGACAGTAATTTCACCATGAGTTGCATGTGGGTAATTTTGATTTTTTCTGATTAGCAAGTTCTTGCTCAAGCACACTCACTGAGAAGTCACCCGAGGTCTGAAAAGAAAAGTTAAAGCGAGGATCACATTTTTAGAGGTTTTTTTACAGCACAAAAATTCATTCTTATTCTTAGCATCATAGAAACCTACACACTTAATTAATAGTGTAAATTAAGTGATAAGCTGACTTAGGCACACATCTTGATTGATTTTTACTGGTACTTATGATCTACTAGTGAAAGGCACATAGATGAACTCATCTTTAACAACATGTGCTCTCTTTATCATATCAACAAATAGATTCCAAGTTGCCTTGAGTCTGTACAGTAACTAGATCACAGAAGACATCAAAATGTAGTAAGAAAATCAGGTATGCACTTGGCTGCCTTGTGGGTCAACTTGTCTGTTCTTACCATATTTTGATGTCACTTACTATGATCACTAAACATACACAAGACAGCATGGAATCTACTTGCTGAATACAAACTTTCCTTGCTGATATCTGGTGATTTCAAACATGAAATTATTTCAACACTAGAAAAGTAAACTGTATGTATGAATTAAGATTATGTATATTAAAAGTTGTCATAGAAAAGAGCAATTAAAAAATGGGAAAAAAATCAAATAGGAATTTAATTATTAGCAGATAAAACTACCTTCTGACTACATTTGCCTGAATTTTTACAGAATTTAACTGAGATATGCTAATGCTGTGTGCCATACGCGAATCAATTTGAACTTGACTTCTTTTCTTTCTATGACAATGGAATTGCAGTAATTCAGGGTATGATTGTATGATTGATATACATAATACACACATACATGCATAATTATGTCATTAAAAACAGTGGCATTTGGCAAATATTCATGATGCATAAACATTCTGCCTTTTCATCAAAAAGGTGATGTCCAGTACTTGTTTGCAATTTAACTTTTTGAACAAAAAAAAACACCAAGAGCAAAGACTATACATAATACAAACTATGATGCAATTAAACCCTAAACCCTGCTTTGGAGAATTTTCCTATATTGTCCCTAGAATACAAGCAGTTGCTCCTTTTCTGTGAAGTCCATCACGAGAGTCAAAAAAACTATCAGTGAAAAAAAGTTGATGTTAGCATGTTGCAGGAAACTCTTGAAGTGATGCTGATATGCCGCAGGAGCCCCATGAGTGAGGCCTACTTTTTGAGTGCATCACTCATAGAGCTCCTGCAGTGCATTGGTGTCACTTCAAGAGTTTCCCTTGGCACCCTGACAGTTTTTGTTTTTCACTGAATTTTTTTTTGATTCACACGACAGACTTTGCCAAAAAGGAGAGACTGCTTGTAGTCTTTATTGCCCCTGGTGTGTGCTCTGCATAGAATCCTTTGAATTAACCCATCCATATTCATGCAATATATTATTCCTATGATCATCTCCATCCTTCCCTAAGAAAGTCCAACCACAGGTTGCAGCCAACATTACATCTTAGTGCCAAATGACAGTGGAAATTATTTGTAAAATACAGCTATGTACATAGGCACACTGCACAGTCAACCCTTGCAGCACTCATAATCAAGCTTCATTTACACAATATAACTGCAGGGTATCTAAGAGTCAGTTAAAAAATTGCTTGAGCTTTGAAGACTACAGCTGTAATATAATCTAGCAACATTATAGTAATTTCTTAGCACTACAAAAATGGGACTCCTCCCAAAAAAAAAATAACAAAAAATAGCTCTAGAGAAAGGGTAATTTTCAACTGAGTTCTGAAGGTAATAGCAGATTACTTTGATCTGTAATTAGTCAAGAACACTTGCAAACCCTTTTCAACCAATCAGATGCAAAACTAAGCCCCATAGCAACTTGGTCACTTCATCAACTTGCCCTTTGGGAAGTTTTCTTGGTCTTACCTTGAATTCTCATTAGCTACTCAACATGTTCTCTTGTACATTGACTGGCCATTGTGACTGCTCTTAATTAGCTTTGGTTTAACAGCACTCAGTTGAAAACACTCTAGATTGTTTGTTATGTGTTATATTATTACATGTACAGGTAATGGCTTCTTCAAAAGATACCAAAAAAACATTAACCAAGTATTGCTTGCATCTAGTTTAGGAGAAATTAAGCTAAAATATGTGTGAGAGGGCCCTGATAGAATTCAGGGCAACAAACAAACCTGGGTGTCCAGTAAAAGGCCACGCAACATCTCTCAAAAGAATGAATTATTCCCCGTACTGCCTTGCTTTGCTTATGAAACAAGGAGTGCGGATTCCAGAACTACATCAAACAGGTCCTTATGATGCTGAAAAGCAACTGCTGACCTGTTTGATAAGAACCCACCTTTTTCAGAATTCCACTACTTTAAGTGTCTCTCTTATCTGAAAAGTACAGCAACCAATATTCTATATTGGAAATTTAGTTTTATTGTCAATTTTTTGGGTGTTGAAAGGACAATTACAAAAATACATTGTTTATTAGGCACCAAAGGACCACTTAATACTGTGCTGTTTAAAATGAAATATAAACCAAAGTGTGGAATTCTTAATAAGGACCTGAAAGTGGCTGCTAACAATTTTAAGTTGTCCATCTTTGACGAAATATGACAGTACCACTCTGAATAAGTTGATATCAGTTTGTTTCATAAAGAGAATATTACCATTTAAGTTAAAGGGTGAGGAATTCTCAGATTGCGGAAACTCCTTCTGTTCAAATCTTCCTTGCACCACATTTTTTAGGAGCTGTACTTGTTTTCCACGTATTCTTTCATCTTGTTTATAAACAAAGGATACTTTCTTATGAATTTCTGAAAATTTGCCTACACATAGGCCTTCTTTGAAATATGTAGTTTTCCCATCCATCCCCACCTGACCCTCTTAATTAGTGTTCCCTAAGAGTTTTCCACAAAATGACTTTCAAGATGTGTTTTTCTAGCCATACAATATATCTCTATCCACATCATCAATCATCAACATTTGCAGAGTGGTAATGCCATACAAGATCCAACCACCAAAAGAATTAAACATTGTTACCAGCCACATAAAAGTCATTTATATATTGAATAAATGCAATCTTCAACATTCACATTCATTGGAAATGGACTTTCACCGCTACTGGACTTATTTAACTAAGGATGATCACTGGAAAAAGTTCTCCAGAATCAAACAGCTTTGTACAATTACAAAAACACCATCTCCAATGAATGTGGAACTCGAAGGTCACAAAGCAGTTGGGGCAACTTTGTGTATTCTAGGGAGTTTTGTCACTTCCAAGGGTGACAAAATTTTCTGGCATACATCAAGCAAAATGCTGTCAGCAATTGCAAGCCTTCAATTGAAATGTTTGTGTCACAAATAGATTTGGAAATTGTTACTATAATTAGTCTAAATAATACATTAGTTTCTTTAAATGTAATAAAATGTTTACTAAGATAATTTTTACTATAATCAAACTTAATTGGCTTTGCTAGGCTGACAGCTAGTCGTAATTACATGACATTCATGACCTCAAAAATATGAACCCTCATTAAATTCCTAATTTTCATCAAATTATACTACAATAATAGGATATAATGACATTGCTCATGAAAAATAGAGGCAAATTTAGTAAAGTGTATACCATTTGGTTCCAGATAATTTGTTGGTCATGATTTCCAAACCACATATAAATATAATTAATTAAATGATAATCATTTCTAACCAAATATGCTACTTTTGCTAAAACTTAAGGCAGCTAGAGAAAGAATGTCATGTGTTTGTCTCGTTTGTACATATTTCTGTATACAGGGTACAAATACCACCCATATAAGCACAATGTATAAAACATTAGCTGGCCAGTTATTTATCAAAGTTTCGTCACTGTTTATCAAAAGCAATTCCTCAACAGGCTTCAATATGGTCAAATTTTTTATCATAATGCATATATGTCATCTGTGAACATGCAGTGTCAAGAGGACCTATGAATAACACAGGAAATCACACCTTCACTTCAAACAACCAACTTATTCAGGAATCTCAAGATTCCTTGATTACCTAAAACTGTGGCAAAACTTCGTTGAAATAACTGGTCCTAAATGTACTTTTACATGTGTAACAAATAAACCCTTTCAATCCCAGCATCCTTACTGTCTACCATACAATTTAAATGTTACTTCTACTTCTGAAAGCCACCTACAAGTAGCCATTCATGACAATTTGAATAATGCTAAAAGGGACTGTTACATTGAAAGCATCATTTATATTAGGCTTGCCACTTGCAATTGATGTTTCTCTATCCTTGTTCCCTTTTGTTTATTGTAACACTTTTGGTAACAGTTTGTTACCCTCACAGGTTATCCTTCAAATCTCACAGGACATCAATATCAGCATATTGAATGACCTCTAAAACAACTCAAAACATGATGGCATAGCTCCCTTTAAATAATGACATGCAAATTATAAATCAATTGTACTTCCATTAACCTTTTCAATCCCAAGATCTCAAAATCAGATCTTCTAGCTGTCTAGTTTTTTCATTTCTTCAGCTCTTTATTTTGTTACAATAAACAAATTTTATTTCATTTCATTGCTATTTTACTTTCCTTTTGTTGCCTTTTGCAAAAATGTATTGATATTGTGAAACAAATTCCTCCTATGTCACCAGTGGGATTGAAAGGGTTCATTTGATACACACAAATATATCATGGTCTATTGAGTATTGTCACATGTAGAAGATGTAAAGGGAAAGTCAGTATTTTGTTCAACATTACTGTACGTAAACTGTATTGTAATTTAAGGCAACTAGTCAGAAAAAATATGAGTGGTACGTACTAATGTAAGTAAATATCTTAAATTTGATGATGTTATAGTAAGCATTGGATTGTGTTGCAATGACCCTTGTAAGTTTTGTAGTGCACTTTTATTGAACAAAATAAGACAAAAAAAACACTGGCACCAGTTGTTCAAAGAATGGAAAATACTATCCACTGAATGAATTGCTATCCATTGGATAGTGCAATACACTTTCTTTACACTTATCCCTTAAATAGTGATTTATCTCTTGGATAGCATTATCTGCCAATTGAACAACTGGGCCCTGTATAATACCAAAGAGGATGTGCAGCTGCACCTAACAAAGTTTTCTGAATAGTCAAGAACCTGCCATAGTTGAAGCAATGCCTCCCTATTTCAGAAATTTTTTTAGTCACTGAGTAGTATGTTGGGTATTGAGAAATCTGTTGTTTGCTATCATGTTTTAAATGGACCAATGACTAGGCACCCAAGTCTTTAATCAAGTACCATACAAAACTTCTTTTAATTACCAGTTGGCAATTACACAGTGATTCATAAGTAGCGACTTTTCATGGGATTTCTTTCCACGTTAGAGTTTTTTCACAACTCTCTTTTCATATTTGCTAATAAAATATGCTACGGACTACCCTAATGTTTGAATGCTCCTTCCTGTGATGTGTTTTTTTGTTTTTGTTTTGGTAAAACTTACCTTAAACAGTCATTTACCTAGTCCCTCTACTCATTTAAAACAGGGTTAAAACAAGTTGTACATTTCAGGATTTGGGTATTTTTAATACAATGAAAGTGACATTCTTCAGTATAGAACATATAATAGAACATTACCAAACATTTACAGGATTAAATAAAACATAACTTACACTAACATCAATTAATGTTTGTTTGATTGTTTTTACTTGGAATGCACCACTGTGCACTGTACTAAAGGATAGCTATCAGCCCACTACAAAACATCTCGTTCAATTTACAAGAAATGACACTATTGACATTGCTGATCCTAATTACCAGTATTCACGACACATGACGTATATGAAATTTTATTACACAACTCGGGCAGTCAGAGGGCCAATAACTAAAATCAACCGATCAAAATGCTCTATTGCCGGTCAATATTCTCTCAGTATTGGACCGGGCACTGT